TAAGATCGAGCTTCTATTCTTTGTAATCCGTGATTAGTCCCTTCTTATATTTAGAGTGTGTTTGATTGGCATGGAAAATATTACCTAGAAAATAAAATGTTTTCCATCTTTTGTAGAAAATAAAAACCACGACCCAAGGAAAATATTTTCCTTAAAAATAAGAAAAATTAGACATTTTTTCAAAAGTTGAAAAATGTTTTCCATGGAAAAAAAATAGCAATCAAACATTCCAAGTAGCAATTTGGGTGAAAAATTGATATTTTCCATGAAAAATAAATGTAATCAAACACACCCTTAGTGAAATAGGTAAGGGGAAGCTTTAACGTAATTCAATGTCTTTGTTTGTTTATTCATTTATCTTATAAGTAGTTAACAAAAAAGTACAATGGTAGTAGTACAATTAGTCTAGAAATGTTTATCATAGTTATTCTTTATATCATCAACCATATTCTAGTATGTATAAATGTTCTTGTTGACATTCTAGCTCGGCGGCTTTTTAGATTAATAGATAACCATCAGTTCTCAAAAAACAAATAATAATAATAATAATTAATTCACACGACTTTTGTTTTGAGAGAGAGAATATATTTGCCTATTCTGTTAGCATCGTATACTTGATTTTCTTCTTCTGCATCCCTATTATTTTATTATTTATTTACTGGTAAGAGAATGACGTAAACTAAATCTCTGAAATTGCTTTACTTCTGCCTATCATTACTTTCAAATTGGCATTGGGTGTAGCATGTCACAGGTTTAGCATTCGCAATAGCTTTTGTATCGCATTAGTGTAAACCTTTTGAATTCGAGAATGTAAAATAAATAAATAAAATTATTCGAAGAGTGCTTATAAAAATATAAACTTATATTTGTGGGAAATTAGTTTAAAAGTCTTAACCACAAGTTTTGCATATTTTTATGCAAAAGGTTTTTATAAGTCTTGCAGAAGTTTGTAAGACCTAGCTTCAACCATTATTAGCCTAGATTTTGTGAAGAAACGTGTTACTCATGGGAAAATAATTTCGGGGGTTGTTTGATAAAGCATTTAATAAAAGTTTTAATAGATTTCAATTGACATATTTTGCTCCCTCGTTGATTTTACCAGCTGAATGGCGCGTAAAAACCGAAGACAGAGAGCAAATGAGAGGAGAAGAAAATCGAAAACTTGTGATTCCAAACCAGAACTAGGAAGCGGTGATGAGTTAGAGCTATGTCGTGAAGATTCGTACCAGATTGAAATTAAAATTGAAAGTCATATTTCCGTTTCCAATAATGCACAACATCTGATTGTTCATCAAAGTAAGTTTTTGAATTTTGTTTTCCTTTTCACGACTTGAGCAAATTATATACGTACATTTTTTATTTATTTTTCAAAACAAATGCAATACTTTCCTTAGCTTTTCTTTCAAGTGGTAGTGGTACAATCTCACGTCTTATATTCTAGAAAATTGAGACTTCCATTCTTGATGAGTATGGCAAACATTGCTTCTCTCTTAGTTCCAGGCATTTTTAACGTTTTTTTTTTTACACTTGTTTATGCTATTGAGTCATTGGATTTCATTTTAAAAGGTAGCATTTGCTAAGAGAATAGTCCAAGTCCATGTATGTCATATATAATTTTAATATTTAACCAATGTCGTATTTTACCTTCAAAATGGTGTTTTATTGTGAGCGCTAATATTGGAACACAATTACTTGTTTGAGCTTCATGGGCTATGACAATGCTGAATCACTTGATTTCCCTAAATCTACTTTACATTAAGAGGTGATCGTATACCTTATGTATATGCTAGTTTATCTCCTCTTTCGTTTTATACATGTTACATAGTATTTCTTGCGAAGTTGTCGAGCTTTATGCATTTTTAACGCATTTAACGATGGTCTCTCCAGAACCAGCAGAAGAAGATATCGAGCTGCACTAAGGGATGACTAGGAGCCTATTGAAACTGCTCTGAGTTCGGGCAAAAAAATAGCTTCTACTAAGATAACATAAAGAGGAGATACGATTCTTCACATAGCTGCTACCGCCAAGCAAACTTCTCTTGTCCACAATCTAGTAAAACACTTTGAAAATATTGACCTGGAATTACTGAACAATGAAAAAAATACAGCTTTCTGTTTTGCAACTGTATCAGGGGTCGTAGAAATCGCCAAGGTTGTGTACGAAAAATAGAACAATTTGCCAACAATTCGAAGTAGCCTAGAAAAGACCCCACTTGAAATGGCAATTTTGCTCCGAAAAAGAAAAATGGTTGAATACCTTTACCCAATTACACCTTGTAAAGATCTCAAACCGGAGGAAATAAGAGATGTTTTTCTAGCAACTATCCATGCCGACATGTATGGTATGAAATCTTTATGATTAATTAACGAATTAGGTCTGAGATTATATACACTTCTTTTTATTTAAGTGATTAATGCCTCGTTGATATGACTTCTGAAAAATCAAAATTAGCTTTAGAGATTCACAAGTTGTTTTTTTGACCCATTTGACTAATTTTATGAAAATGCTTTTTCTAAATAAAAATGTTTTCAGAGGAAGCTAGTAACATGACTTTCTCTATAAATATTTCTAGAATAGGAAGTTCTTAAAAAGTTATCTTTCAAACAAAATTAAGATAACTTCCTTCAAAATCCCTTCTACAAAAAGCAAAAACAAAAACAAAATTCATGCCAAACGAGCCCGAAATCTTACTATTTCCACAATTTAATATGCTTGGTTTTCTTTGTGAGCAGATATGTCTTTAAAGATATTAAAAGAGGAGCATACAAGAGTATCTACAACTGAAAACATAGGAATGGCTTTAGAAGTTTTAGCTCAAAAATCTTTATCACACAATCACGGAAGTCAAGGATGGATATGGGAAAGACTAGTTAACATCATTACTGCAATCCCTTATATTACATGTAAGTCCATAAACCTTTCTCACTCTTCTTCACAAGTTAGACCACTCGTTTATATTTCATGAAGTACGGTAATTCAACTCTTGCATTCAAAAAAAAAATTCTACTTACTCTATGTAAAATTGATACTTAGAATATAGCCTCATGTATGACTACATTACAATATTGTCCTTATTACTCCATTTAATTTCAAAATATGTACCTAATGATGTTTTACTTATTGTTGTCTGATTTTAAGTTAAGGTTATTATACAATCAAAAAAGAGAATTGCTATATGGCCAGGGCGAGCTACTATATGGCCAAGGCCTTAGCCGTCCAGTGGTGCTTCCCCTATTGGTAGGGGGTCTGTTGTGCCTGGCTAAGCAGTTTTATTTATTAGAAAGTTAGATTTTTTTTATTATTTTTTTTTACTTCTCTACTAGACTAATTAGACTAATCAGAAAGTTAGGATAGTAATTAAATTAGAATTAACAATGGGACGGAGGAAGTAATAGGAATAATCAACTGAGATCTTATGTTAAAGACGATGATGGGAAGGAAAAAAGAAAAAACTATATATCCGATTAAAATACTAGTTTCCATAAGCACCAATTTGTAATTTTTTTGGTCTGTATTGATAATTGAATAAGAGTTCTAATTATCCCATATTATATTAATGTTTATCCAATCTAAATTAGGATGAACTTTAGAATTGTCTAGCGAAGTCCAGTTTACTCCTAGTGTTTTGAAATTTTTGGATTTGTGTTCTACATTAATTTTGCTTAGATATTTTTAGATTTCAGAAGGATATACTCACTTCAAATGAGGATAAAAAGCCAGTGAGTTGGCAAACCTTTATCCAGTGAGTTGGCAAACCGACTGTGGGAATAGATTCCGAAATTACCGTACTCCAATATCATAAAACTAGTTAAAGAGACTCAAATATTTCATGATGCTGTAAAAATAGGGAATGTTGAGCTTCTGACTCTCCTTACTCACTCATATCCTGATCTTATATGGGAAGTCAACAAAGAGAAACACTCCATATTTCATGTTGCTGTTATTAACAGACAAGAAAAAGTGTGTTGTCTCATCTACCAAACAGGAGCTAATAAGGATTTAATTACACTCCTTGACAATGGTAAAAAGAACAACATTATGCATTTGGCTGGGGAAATAGCACCTCCAAGCAGACTTACTATTGTAACTGGTGCAGCTCTTCAAATGCAGAGAGAGCTACTATGGTTTAAGGTGAGAAATTAAAAAAGGTAGTGAAATTGAATGATTTTTTATTTATCTTGAATATATATGGGGACCATGTTCCTTGAAATCTCTAATTGATTATTCTATGTAATAATTATACACTGCATAAGAGTTAGATTTTGGAGGATTTTGCAAAATGTGCTAGATATATTGTTGTCAAACGACCTCTCAGGCGATGATGTAAACTGGTTATTAATTATCAGTCGGCATTTGCAATAAGACTGAACGATATATCAATACCAAAGTTGGAATAACCCGACCCAAGAAGTGATTGGACCATTTGAAGCAACCAATTTTATTGTGTTGCTCATGGGCCATATTTTCTACATACTTGGATGGTTAGCTATACTTGAGGCCCACCCTATATTCCACTATGTGTTATTGGGCCATGACCCATTACCTAGACCTAACTTACCTTATTAGTGACTTGGCCCAATATTTATTCACTTGGTCTTGCACGCTACTTTGATACAAGACTTGGTATCTCTCTTCTTCATCTCTGCGTGCTCTCTCTCGGCCTCTACTCTACTGGTTTCTGCCACTTCTCTTTGTGTTGATATCTTGGTGATATTTCTCCTCCTTTTTAGTGGTCTCTAAGTGGAAAAAGGTCTAGCAACCGTAGGTGGAACCTTTGTGGTGTTCTTGGGTCGTTTGGTTTTGGTAACTGAGCCTGTATATCGCCTTGGTGATTGAAGATTTCACTTCCTTACAAAATGCAATATTTGAGTAAGCTTTTCAGTAGGTGGAGAAGATTGTATCACATCCATTATTCGATATGAAAATCAAAGAGGGCAAAACACCAAGGGAGTTATTTTCCATGAAGCACAAGTAGTTAAGGAAAGATGGTGAGAAGTGGATGAAGGATACAACATCTTCTTGCATGGTCATGGCAACTTTATTTGCCACCTTCGCGTTTGCTGCAGCCTTTATCATACCAGGTGGCAATAATGAAATAGGCACTCCAGTATTCTTGAAGAACAGGTGGTTCACAGTTTTTGTTATATCTAATGCAGTGACAATGTTCAGCTTGGCAACTTCCATAATGATGTTCTTGTCTATCTTGACTTCACGCTATACACAAGACGATTTTCTATTTTCATTACCAGCAAAGTTGATGGTTGGACAGATTTCACTCTTTGCTTCAATTGTTTGTGTGGTCTTAACATTTAGTGCAACCTTCTTTTTGGTCTACAACAAGGAAAAGCATGGGCCGTTGCCAAGAGTTGTTGCTGCTCTTGCTTGGCTTCCAATCATTATATATGCAGTGCTAAATCATAGGTTAGGGATTGCCCTAATCCACTCGACTTGCTGGCCTGCTGTACTTATGTTTTGACGAGGCAAGCATAGGATTTACTAAAAAAGAGCTTTTTTTCTTGTTTTCTTCTCTCTCGCTCTTTTTTTTTTTTTTTTTTTTTGTTGGGGCTTTCAAGTGCAACACAAGTTGAAAAGGTTTCTATTTCTTATTTCCATGGTTCGATTCCATGAGATGTATGCTATCCGAGGGCTTTGTACATCTTTAGCTTGATATTAATATATGGTGTTATTAATATTTAGCCCTTGTTTGGTGGAAAATAAAATCAGATTTTCAATAGATTTTGATAAATGTTAATGAAACATATGGTTTAAAAGTTATTGATCCCATTAAATATGTGGTTAAAATTAACTATTGACTTTGACTTAAATAATAGGAGCTTCACTTTGTTGTTCCACTAGTTGTGAAAATATGCATGCCTAATCACACGTAAAATCGCAGTATAGTCTTTCATAACTACTTATTGCTTTATAGAATCTAGTCAATATCGTCTACTCCTACATGTTTCTTCCTAATTAAACAATTAGAATTATGACAACCTCTTTATAAATAAAAAAAGAAACAGTAATACAAGAAATTATTGTACCTAGAAAACACTGAGAATATATCTCTCTATGCTTAAATTCAAGTAGAGATATATATGTTAATATAATGGTTAAATGGACAGTTTCATCTATTGAGAGAGTATTTGGTAGAGATTAAAATTTGATTTTTTAGTAGATTTTGAAATGTGCGGTTGAAAAATCATGGGGCCTATAAAATATGTGGTTAATATTAATTGTTTAACTTTGACTAAGATTAAAATCAGATTTTAATCCGTACCAAATGGGCTTTGAGACTACTATGCAAAGAATGGAGACTAAGTAGTAAATTTGCAATGTTTAGCCAATAGTACTTTATATTGCTTCTTTTTATTTTACTTGTTTATTAAGGTAGTTTAAGTGCAATTAAGTGTGTATAAGCTTGTTTAACTTCATTTTTAACCATAAATATTCCTTTATATTCACAATTTTTTATAATTTTTAATCCACGCATTTTTTGGATCCTTAGTACTCATAAACCTTTAAAAGCTTAACCAAGCATGCATAAACCTTTTTATTATTAGATTAGATTAGATTAGATTATTTAGCCCCTTACTTTCATTTTGTAAGATAATCTTTTTGCTCTTGGAAACCCTAACACATTTTCCCATTCTCTCTTGAATCCTTATATTAATTATTCACAGCAACAAGAGTAATAGGTTAAAGATTAACACTTCAATTTTTTTTTTTTTTTATCGAGAAATACTAGGATAGCTAATTGTAAATGTTCGATCAGTTAATTATGCATCTTTGTTTAATTGTAATTTTGTTTTCCAATTAATTAAAGATATTGCATACCAACAAGTAAAATAGCAATACACGTAAGTCAGGTTGAAGCCTATTCAATTCATTTAAAATAAAATAGACAATATGTAAAGGATATATGTATAACTTTATTTAATGGTTTAAGCATTTAGATTAATGATCAAGTGTTTCAACATTATGTTCTTTTGTTTCGCAAATTTACATGATTTCTCCACTCAAAATCAAAAACTTCATAAATAAGTACAAATTTACTTAATCATTTGCCCATGTCACCAATAGAGGCGATCCACACATGATATTTTATAGAGGTGATCCACATGATATTTTATATAATCGAGATAGAACTTGAGTATTACATTCTACTCTAAAGTTTTAGCTTGAGATGGAGCAAAATCCTCGGAGTTGGATGAAAATGGCTGTTTAGACGGCATGATGCCTACAAGCATGACGTCAGCATTTCGAGCAGCAGTGAACGATCCCATGCTAAAATATGCGTTCTAAACACTTGACTGCTAATGTTAGTCCTTCAACAGCTCCAATAGTGTGGTTTACATGACTTGGTTTCCATTATGACGCTAGGCAGGATAGCAATTATCATGCAAGCTAGTTCAACACATGATTCACAGGGAAGAACACGAGAGAAGACGCTCAAAACACAGAAAAAACCTCAGACGTTCAACTTAATTTTATTAAAATCTAGAATGACCAAAAACAGCCCACAAGCCGAGCTATATAGCTAAAAAAGCGTTATTACTGGAATTTTACCACCAAAAAAAAAAAAAAAAGCAAAATCCCAATAACCATACTAAAATAAACTACGTAGTAATTTGCCAAAAGTTTGGCTAAAATCGAGTTCATAATCATCAAGAAAATGACAAACAAAATATTAACAAAATAGAAAAAATTAACTAAAAATGGGAATTCAGAAGGGAAAACATTATATTTTGGCCTAAAAGATGATGCCTACCCAGCATAGCTAGTGACCATGATGTGTGTGCCAAAAAGAGCTTTTTGAATTGGGTTCATAATTGCGATTCTAATAACCGTAGCCAAAGTTATAGGCAAATTACTAAAATGTGTTCAAAACTGCCCCAATTAGGAAAAGATTACGATCACTTGCCATCTTTGTGCCAATCTGCCAACTTATGGTATCTTAGTGCGATCAACATGCTATTTGACAACTCAGAATCACTTGTTTCGGACCTTCCTTCATTTGTCACCCCCGATTGGAAAGAACTCGCTCTCGAGTTCACGTTAGCTTCATCGGAATCCACAAGATAAGGACTTAGGTGCTTTACATTAAAGATATTAGAAGTCTTCAAATGGCTAAGGAGATGCAGTTTGTACGCATTATCTTTGATCTTCTGTAGGACCTCACAGGGCCCAATCTTCCGCTTCTTAAGCTTATTATACTCCACAGTAGGAAAACGATCGCGGGTTAATAGCGCCCAAACAAAATCTCTAACATCAAAAAGCACCTGACGACGGTGACTATCGGCTTGGACTTTGTACTTGGCATTACTCTCTTGAATGGCCAGTTTTACCTATTCATGGATATTTCTAAGATGTTCTACCATCTTATCGGCCTAGTGACTTAAACGACCCACATGTGGGATAGGGGCTAAGTCAAGTACTTCTAATGGATTCCGACCAGAGACAATCTCAAATGGGCTCATTCCTGTGGTTCTATTCTTCGACTTGTAATAGGCAAATTGTGCTTGAGGTAATGTCAAATCCCACTACTTCAGTTTAGTCCCTGCTAAACTTCTCAAAAGGTTTCCCAAGCTCCTATTCACCACCTCGATCTAACCATCTATCTGGGGATAGTAGGCGCTGTTGAAGTTCAACTGCATTCCCAGTTTATCCCACAAGCTTTTCTAGAAATGATCCATGAACTTGGTATCATGATAAAAAGTAATTGATTGGGGAACACCATGTAAACGCACAATCTCCCTGAAATAAAGATGGGCGATCCGGGTAGCATCCATTGTTTTCTGACAAGCTACAAAATAAGCCATCTTGGAAAACTTGTCAACCACAACAAAAATAGAATCCATCTCCTATTGGATACGAGATAAGCCCAATACAAAATCCATCCTGACATCAATCCAAGGGGCTTCAGGTATAGGTAAAGGCGTATACAATCCCACATTAGTGAGATCTCCTTTGGACCACTGACACACATGACAACGCCTACATAATGCATCACGTCACTATTCAATTTGGCCTAATAATAGTCAGAAGAGACTAAAGTCAATGTCTTATCTCTTTTTGACTAAAGTCGGAAGAGACTAAAGTCAACCCAAGGATATAAGAGATATTTTTCTAGCAACTATCCACGCTGATATGTATGGTATGATATCTTTTTTATTAAAAATCTTTTTGATTTCTACTTACTATATATACACTTCTTCTTTTTATTTAAGTGATGAATGGCTCGTTTGATATGACTTTTGAAAAATCAAAATTAGCTTTTGAGATTCAAAAGTTGTTTTTGAACCCGTTTGACTAATTTCAAGAAAATGCTTCTTCTAATTAAAAATGATTTTAGAGGAAGCTGGTAATGTGACTTTCTGTAAAAACATTTCTAGAATAGGAAGTTCTTTAAAACTTAGTTTTGAAACAAATTTAAGATAACATCCTTCAAACTCTCTTATACAAAAAGCAAAAACAAAAACAAAATTCAGGTCAAACGAGCCTGAAATCTTACTATTCCACAATTTAATATGCTTGGTTTTCCTCGTGAGCAGATATCTCTTTAAAGATATTAAAAGAGGAGCATACAATAGTATCTACAACTGATAACATAGGAATGACTTTAAAGGTTTTAGTTCAAAAATCTTTATCACACAATCACGGAAGTCAAGGATGGATATGGGGAAGTCTAGTGAACATCGTTACTGCAATCCCTTATATTACATGTAAGTCCAAAAACTTTTCTCACTCTTCTCCACAAGTTAGACCACTCATTTTTGCTTCATGAAGTACGGTAATTCAACTCTTGCATTCAAAGATTTCTTCTTACTATATGTAAAATTGATCCTTGGAATATAGCCTCATGTATGACGACGTTACAATTTTGTCCTTATTGCTCCGTTTAATTTCAAAATATGTACCTAATGAAATTTATCTTATTGTCTTCTTTTTTTACGTTAAGGTTATTATACAATCAGAACAGAGAGTTGCTATATGACCAGGGCGAGCTACTATATGGCTAAGGCCTTAGCCATCTAGTGGCGCCTCCCCTATTGGTGGGAGGTCTATTGTGGTCCTGGCCAATCAACTTTATTTATCAGAAAGTTAGATTTTTTTTCTACTTTTCTAATAGACTCTAATTATGATGATCATTAAATTAGAATTGACAAAGAGATGGAGGAAGTATTAGGAATAATCAGCGGAGATCTTACATTAGAGACGATGACGGGAAGGAAAAAAGAAAAAACCATATATACAGTTAAAATACTAGTTTCCAAATATATGCACCAATTTGTAATTTTTTTTTGTCTGTACTGATAATTGAATAAGAGTTCTAATTATCCCACATTATATTAATGTTTAATCGATCTGTACTAGGATAAGCTTCAGAACTGTCTAGCGAATGCCAGTTTACTCCTAGTATTTCGAAATTTTCGGATTTGTGTTTCACATTAATTTTGCTTATTTTTAGATTTCAGA